TATATATATATATATATATATATATATATATATATATATATATATATATATATATATATATATATATATATATATATATATATATATATATATATATATATATATATATTCGAATCATTTACCTGTTTTAAATAAAAATAAAATATTGTAGAAATTGATTTAACCAACATTAATATGCGGTTGAGATTAAAAGCGGGAATGGATCGATGACTTTTTAGGGATCCTTTCTAATTTTCCTGTACATTAGTAAGGTAAGCCAGTTTTACATCTTCAATTATAGAACATGCAAGAACATCGAAGCCCAATTAAAGTTTGAAGGCCCATTTATTCGGCCTGGCCATCTATAAGCCCTCACTATGTCACATCAGCTTCTCGCATTACATTACCCTTATCGATATGATATGAGAACGACAAGTGCTAAATATAACAATTAAGATTGTGAATGATCCAAATATCATATGGCTGAAAACGTTACGAATCACCAGCAGGCAAATCTGAGGTCAAATTTTTTCCAGTGGGAGAGAAATGTGAGATCAGCGTCGAGATTCGTTCTGAGGTGGAAGGAAGGCCACGATTTGCACACCCCTCCATATATTGTGGCTACATTTGCCATCCGTATCTGTCATATCGTACGATATATCGGAAAAGTTACAATGACTGCTATATAACAGTGATCCAACCCCGAAACCGCGAAACTATTCCGGTGTATGTGAGGCCTTCGTTTCCCGGTTGTAGATAGGGATAAGAGTACTGCTGCGACTGCAACCGCATCGTTCCCCTTCCTCCGTTTCCCGTAGCTCTCCCCAATCCCCTTCTCGACCTCATCCTTACCCTTCGCCTCCATGGCTTCCATCACTACCATGGTCGGAGCCCAAAAGGCTCTCCTTCCCTCATCTTACGCAAAGCCTAGAACCCCCAAATCCCCTGCAATCTCCTCCTCCAACACCAATTTCCTCTCCTCTTCCTTCTCTTTGTCCACTGGTAACTTGTGCTACGACACCGCCGCTTCCTCTCAGCAGCGACTCCGCCGCGGCAGCGGTGGCCTGCTCGTCGTCCGAGCCGCCCGCGGCAAGTTCGAGCGCAAGAAGCCGCATGTGAACATCGGCACCATTGGGCACGTCGACCACGGCAAGACCACGCTCACCGCCGCTCTTACCATGGCCCTCGCTGCCGTCGGCGGCTCCTCCCCCAAGAAGTACGACGAGATCGACGCCGCCCCCGAGGAGCGCGCCCGCGGTATCACCATCAACACCGCCACCGTCGAGTACGAGACCGAGTCCCGCCACTACGCCCACGTCGACTGCCCCGGCCACGCCGACTACGTCAAGAACATGATTACCGGTGCTGCCCAGATGGACGGCGCCATCCTCGTCGTCTCCGGCGCTGACGGCCCCATGCCCCAGACCAAGGAGCACATCCTCCTGGCCAAGCAGGTCGGTGTGCCCAACATGGTGGTCTTCCTCAACAAGCAGGACCAGGTGGACGACGAGGAGTTGCTCCAGCTCGTCGAGCTCGAGGTTCGCGAGCTCCTGTCCTCCTACGAGTTCCCCGGCGACGACGTCCCCATCATCTCCGGCTCTGCTCTCCTCGCCCTCGAGGCCCTTATGGCCAATCCCAGCATAAAGCGCGGTGAAAACAGCTGGGTAGACAAGATCTACGAACTCATGGACTCCGTCGATAGCTACATCCCCATCCCGCAGCGGCAGACCGACCTCCCCTTCCTCCTAGCCGTCGAAGATGTCTTCTCCATTACCGGCCGTGGGACCGTCGCCACCGGGCGAGTCGAGCGTGGCACGATAAAGATCGGTGAGACCGTCGACATTGTAGGTCTCCGGGAGACGCGGAACACCACGGTCACCGGTGTCGAGATGTTCCAAAAGACGCTCGATGATGCACTGGCCGGAGACAATGTCGGCCTACTCCTCCGTGGTGTGCAGAAGGCCGACATCCAGCGGGGCATGGTTCTTGCCAAGCCCGGCACCATCACGCCGCACACCAAATTCGTTGCCATTGTCTATGTCCTTAAGAAAGAGGAGGGTGGGAGGCACTCGCCTTTCTTTTCAGGGTATAGACCTCAGTTCTACATGAGGACCACGGATGTCACGGGCCGTGTCACCAGCATTATGAACGACAAGGATGAGGAGGCCAAGATGGTCATGCCCGGAGACCGTGTCAAGATGGTGGTTGAACTCATTGTGCCTGTTGCCTGTGAGCAGGGAATGCGGTTCGCTATCAGGGAGGGCGGGAAGACCGTCGGTGCTGGTGTCATCCAATCCATCATTGAATAAAATTCTGAGTGTAAAACTAGTTTGGCCTTCTTTATTGCAGGGGCTGCTTCACTAAGTTCTAGTGTTTGAGGTAGTAAGTCTTGCAAATTAAAGACCAAACATATGATCAGGTTGCAACCCAAGGGAGGCTCAGCTCTGCATTGTCATATATTCTGCAGTTTTGTTACTTTTGAATTTACTTCTTTTTGCACTAATTATCTGTCGCTGTGGTCAAGTGGAATCATGCAGACTCAACGCATAACTAACTGTGAAATCATGTAATTTGATTTTAGTTGATGTTTGCATAACTAATTTTTACTGCAATGTTGTTGCTGTAGCCGACGATTACATTAGTTCTTTTTGTCACGAGAGATGCTTCAATTGTAGGAAATGTAGGACTGTGGTTTAATTAGTTATCATCTTTATACAATCTCAGAGATTGGCTTATCTGCTTTTGGTTAGTGCTTAGCAGGACAGCATACCATATAATGACTGACACAGCTACCTGGATGACCAATTCGATAGGAAGTGTGTGCATGAACATATCTTTTTGTTATCTCATGATTATCATACTTACAGAATTAATGTTTTCATGCTTGGTGTTTGTTATCTTTTGCACTTTCTCGTCCATCTGAGCCTGTCAACATTTGACTTGAGTAGTGTCTACTTTATCATAACACCTGCATAATTACTTTTGGCCTTAATTCTTGAAAATGTTTAATTTTAATAATCAAGGATAATCTTGGTAATTTATCGTGCTCAATTCTTATTTTATTTTTAAATTCATGCAAACTTTTAGGATTGTACTTTATTTGCAATATCACTCCTTTGTTCTCAGAATGACTATATTAGAAACGAAGACTTACATTATCCAATTACTTCTCACTTGATGCACTGATGACTTCACTAATTCTATGTTATAGTATATTATTTTCCTTTTGATACATGGACTGGATGAACCTATTGCTGTAATCCTTTTTCTTTACAATAGAAGCAAAAGTTAGTTGTTTTCTTCTGTATTCTCTGTAGCTTATAAGCTAGTTTGATTCTGTTTTGTGATTATAGCAATATATTTTCTTTAGGCTTATTTCTTGTGCTTCCAACATTAGCAGTGTACAGAAAAGCTTTGTGATTTAATGATGTGATTAGGTTAGTCTTCTACTATCTTTGTTATGCAGCTGCAAAGTTTTAATTCAGTTGTTCCATTTAATGACCAACTTCAGTAACACTAATGGGAAATATAGTTTATCATGATTAACTGCTGCAGAATAAATCGAGTTTAGCTCCCCTTTTCATTATGCACCTTGTAACTTTTCAAATCGCCTGAGTCTTTGACTTTCTGCAGCCTGACACTAAAAACTTCTGCATCTTAGACCAGTAAATTGTTAATCCATCACATGTATTTGCATTGAAATCTATGTTATATCATGACATTTTTTTCATTGTATTTTTCATTATCTGTGCATATTGACTGGTATCCATATTGCCATATTACCATTTTCTAAGATCTCGTTTCAGGCATGTCAAGAAACTCATTTCATCAATCATAAGAATATAAGAAAAGAGCAAATTTTAATGGTTTATTAGTTTCATGATATATTTTTTCTTGTAACAACATAAACTACTTTTCTAGAAGTATGCCTTTGTATAGATTGTGGTTGGTTTAAGGACTATAAATTCCCATCCTGTCTACTTTCTACTGCAACATATCATATGTCATGTTTGGGTTAGCAAAACTTAATCAAATTATCAAACAGTTATCTTCCAATTGATGCTTAGTGCTACTCAAAAGAAAAAGTTGAACAAAATAATACTAGCTCTTTACCCAGTCATGCTTTGGGTTATTAAAACTCCATGACCTATTGATGATTCAACTTGGAATCTTTCCTACACTCTGGTGTTTCTGTTTTGATGATAACAGGGAATACTGTTTGTGAGGCTTAGACTACCTGTGCATTCTCTTGTATGTTGATGTGATATGTTGTTATCCATATCCTTATCCTCAACTTCAATGTTTCTTTAGACATTTAGACAATGGATTGTTCTTATTCTTACATCATTTAAGTAATTTGCCAAAGTTGACTCTAATCAACTGTCTTTTAACTTCAAATTGGGTGATGTGGATATTTAGAGTAATCATTATTATTTTTCAATCTACAGAGTATTGCATTTACATGGTAATTTGATTTGTGTTTTCGCTGGATAAAAATATTTCTGTATAGCAATTTACAATTATATGTAACAACAATAAAGATCATTGGCATTGCACTGGACTACCTGCTTGGGTCATCTTCTGAGCTAGATGAATTAGGCTTTTCAAACTGAGTCCAACTAGGGATAGCATCCAAACTCACACAAAGAATAAATACATCAAGACATTTAGCAACATTCCCCTCTAAGTTCCTGCACTCCAATGCCAACAACAACAATGTCCAAAGGTATATTACATCTTATTTTTTTGCCAAATTCTTGAACTCATTCCCAATTATAGATTTTGATATCATCAAATGCCCAAATACTCATGTTGAACAGGAAGGTCAGGAAGCACAAATCCTCCAGTTATTGAAGTGTTCTTTGATCATTGAGCACAAAACATCACTTATGTTACTATCATAAAAGCAATTGCTAGGCTACTCCATATTGGATGTTATAGATGTACACTGAGCTTTAAGACACATCTAATGTGTCCTGTAGCCTTTAATGTGGTGAGCATGGTAGAAGAAGGCAAAAGGCAGTTCACTGGATCAACATCATAATTAGGTCAAGGGAAGATGGGAAGCAAGTAGTAGGTAAGGAGAGAGTGTTGACCAAGTTAGGTGGAAAGAATACACAGGAGGCTAAAAACTAGAAGGTTCTATTTTGAATTCCACCACTTAAATAGTTAATCAAATCTGCATTTTAAATAGAGTAAAATTCTCAATTATCTTACATGTTATCATTTTATTACTAATTAAAAATGGTAGTTGGTTGGATTTTTTTTCTAAATACCTGCATCTACTTGATCTACTTTCATTTGATTATGATATCCTTCTAATCAAATATAAGATTAATTTATACCAAAATAGTTAGTTGAGTTCAGAAAACATGAGCCATTAGGAAAGTTATTACAAGCCCTCATTAAGGAGTAATTTGACAGAATAAAGGAAGAAGAGTGGATTGAAGAAGAGGATCAAAGGCTAAGAAGGTTGAACCCAATTCCTAGCCATCACCCTGTGGGCAGGCAACCATCAAAACAAGACTTTGGTTGGACCATAAAACCATGCACAATTTGAAGTTTATTAAAATTGATTGAGAATAATAATAATAATAATTAATTCATGAACCAAACAAGTTGGTGAGCCAACTAACCCCCACCCACCAACTCCCCTGTGATTGTTTTATTTCCACCACCCACATCATTGACTGAGAGGTTGCCAGGTGAGCCATAATTTGCAATTGGAATTGGAGCAAGAACACTAGCAGAATTAGTTGGTCTACCCTTCCAAAGGAGAAGGAAGAAGAAGAAAAAAGTGCCCCACTAATTGTCCACCTACTCCACCACCATTGTCTTCTACAAGAAGTTTGACATGATCCTTCTTTTGTTTCCTTCCAACAGCAAGTGTGGGCTAATTAAACTTTTAATCTTGAACTGTTCTTCAATAATAACTATGAATGCTGTGTTCATGGCTCCAACCATGTGGAATGTTTTCATGATGACTGCTATGGCTTTGTAGCTACAGTATGTATAATATTGCAAATGGTTCATTAAATCTTTATAATGCAAAGATGGTGGTTGTGCAGCATATTTAAGAACTGCATGGATCTTACTGCAAGATAATTACTTATTGTCACTGATGGAAATAACTGCTAACATTTGGTACTTTTAGATATCTTTTCCATTAAATCAATACTGATTTTTTTCTTTTCTGAAATATGAATGTACGAGGAAGTGAGTGGGGCCCATAATTCTATTTATTGTTTTCATAGTTTAAGTTTAGTACATATATACACACATGATAAAAAAAAACTCAGATATATATATTCCCTAAAGTCATAATTAAAGATCCATCTTTCTGAAACAAAATCATCCAATTGAATTAGAATAATGTTGAGAATATTTTAGGTACTTTTTTTTATTATGTTTAAATTATTATTATCAATCATTACCGATAGTTCTTAATTTAAGAGCATTTGTGGAGTATTATGACATATATGTACGTATTAAAATATTTAGAGGCAAATATGTAAATACACTATTCTTTATATTTTTTTTTGTGTTATTTACCATCTAAAATAGTACGAGCGGCATATAAAAATGGGCGCCCGACACCAACTACTCCCCAACTAACCCTTCCCTCTTCTTTGGTTTCGCCGTTCTCTTTTCTGGGAGAGAGAGAGAGGAGAGAGGCGAGAGAGAGAGAGAGTGAGAGCGAGGAGATGGGGAGTCATGGGAAGGTCTACACCTTGGCCGAGGTCTCGACCCACAACACCCACAAGGACTGCTGGCTCGTCATCAACGGCAAGGTCTGTATCCATCTCGCCTCAATTCGATTCCTTTTCCCCTTCTCTCTCTGTTGTTGTTCGATTCAATCATGTCTGAGCCCCCATCTGTTTGTTTATCTACGAAAGGAACGACCTTTTCGTCTCGACTATTGAGATCTTGTCAACCTTCGCGAGTTGATTTCGTATGCCTATGGTAGGTTGCGGATTTTCTTTACCGCAAGCTACTAGAGGGAGTTGGGCTACCTTCCGAAAGCATGAAAGCTTGATTTCATGCCCTCCGAAATTCAGATAGATTATGGAACCGGCATGGTATAAGATTACTTTGGCAAAGATGCGATTAGTTGTCCATAAATGCTCGGAATAGGTTACAGCGTCATCATGGTATTAGAACACTTCGATTAATATGCTTCTTTGGAGACGTCCAATAAAGTTGGACTGATGCAGGTAAAATTAAATTGGCCCTCTGTCTGAGGATGATATGCACAAATCAAGACATGGTCCAAAGACATGTCTTTTGAGGTTTCTAGCAAAATTTCCAACTTTTCTTTGAAATATCAGCTATATTTCTACCTATTATTCTTGTTTAAGTTAAAAGTTGTGTATATAATTATGGGTATTTTAGCTGATTGCTCTCACGTAGCTCAGAGATCTAAGGTCATAAGCTGGAGTTTTGTCCAAAGGTAAAAAATACTAAAGGTCGTCATCTTGCTCATTTTGCTTGAATCGATGCAGGATGTTACAGAGTGGGGATCTGAACCTGCTCGAACTATCATGTGAATCTCATCATGTGTTTGAACCTTGATGCCATACGAATGAATATCTTTGTTAAAAGAAAGTGTTAAGGATGCCATGAACAAAATGACATAGCCCCAAAACATGTTTTTTGAGGTTTCTATCAGTTTGTCCAACTTTTTGTTACTTCATTACAATTACAGTCTGCCCGTTAATTATTCTTGAAAACATTCCAAGTACAAGAAAGGGTTTTGGTTGTTGTCTATCTGATGAACATGTTAGACATGGATTTTTCTGATCATATGATATTCACCCCCTCAAGAAGATTTCTTTCATGCATGGAGTGCATTATATTTGAGGTTTTATTTCCTTTGTGTTTTTGATGCAATATTGGCGGTGATCACATTTCTGATTGGAGAATATATTAGATTATACTTCCATATTATCAGTTTGTCAGTACCAAGTGATGTGTGTTATTAGGCCTCTATTTTTTTTCTTAAAACTTTTCAACATCAGAAGATCAACAAATATCATGTTTTTCAGAAAAGAACTTGTCAGAATATTGGGAAATAGAATAACTTACGGTGAACCAATAAACTTGTAAGATGACAGATGCTTGCTACATGGTATCACTCTGCTACAATAATCTGCTCTCTAGGGAGTATCAACCTGCAAAATTGTGCATGTGGTCTAAATTCAAGTAGTAAATTACAATTTGGAAAGAAAATGTTCAATGAATGCATGATGTTCATGATTCTAACTTTCTATAAAATATCTTGACTACAAAAGAATTAAAAGTAGGCTGGAGATGCACTCTTGACTCTAGCATTTGAAAGTACCATAGATTATAAGGACCCATACATGTAATGATTGAATGAAGAAGAAAGACTATTAATGTAGATAACTTTTTCAAAAGAGAAATCATGATACAGGCCCAACAATACTGAGGCTGTGTGTTTCATTCCGCATCTCTTAGCCCATATACTTTGGAATTGTGGTTTGCGTAGGTAGGAATAAGATTTTATATTGGCCTCTTTCCTAATAGGGATTCTTATTTGTAATCAGGTTGATTTTTAAGTGACAATTCAAATCCGTAGTTTGATCATCATGTGCTACCCATACTTTGAGCTTAAGTAATTGTAAGACAATGGATATTGCATGGAACTTCATTCATTGGTGGAGCACACTCAGGATTGGTTGTACTTGGGGACACACGCTAAGATAACTAAAAGATACCTCATGTTATGCTTCTGTTAGTTACATCTGTCTCCACATGGGCCCTTCATCATAGGATGCCTAATTAACTTGCAAATAAATAAGGCATTAAAGATAACTTGATGGATCGAGTTTTCGTTTGGGGATGAACCTCTGCTACAGGGGAAGATAAATTGAACACAAGCACTTCTGCTAAGTCAATAACTTTACCTTTACGAATATAAGGATTTTATTAAAACTTTAAGAATTAAGTTTACCAGCTAACAGTGGTGGTATTTCTTTTACTAGCTTGTTAATCCTTAGATCTAATGATGCATGAATTTCTTGATATCAGCCAACAACACATGGGTAATATTTAATGATCAAATTATCTAAATAGTTTTGAGGATGGATCTTGGTATAACAATAAGATTGCTCCTTTGCTATTTGGGAGATCGGAGTTTGAGTTTCAAAAACATCTGTAAGACTATGAGGAGTAGCTGTAGGCTGAGAGGAGGAGGTGATGGTGGTCATAGTGGAGGAGTGATCAAGAGCAAGAACAGGAGAAACACGAGAAAGAAAAGGGGACTGACGTAGCAACATTTGGGTTGCTTGCAGTATCAGCTTAAATAATGTCTTCTGTTTGACAAATCTGTTTGTCATGTGGGCAGACTTTAAATATATGGGACCAATTGTATTAACTTACTATGGGATGTTACTTTTTAATATTAATATCTTGGTTCTTGGAGGTTTCTGCGTAATTAGTTTTGCCGTTATTGTGATGCATTAGTGGTGTTGCTTTTTTACTCAGCTATCATGTTTTAGAGGTTGCTTATGGTAGTTTGGTCTTCTATTTTTGGATTTCATGTACTTCTGTGCAGGTTTATGATGTTACCAAGTTCTTAGAAGATCACCCTGGAGGGGATGATGTGCTGTTGTCATCAACTGGTAGATCTATTTTGAGTTACCCAGATCTCCATACAGCATCACTGATTCATCAGTAAGATGTTTTATCTTTGACATGCGTTTTCGTTGTCAGGGAAAGATGCAACTGATGATTTTGAAGATATCGGGCATAGTAATACTGCAAGGGCGATGATGGATGAGTACTTTATTGGCAAGATTGATGCTGCAACAATCCCTCAGAAAGTTAAATACACTCCTCCCAAGCAGCCTCACTACAACCAGGACAAGACATCGGAGTTCATCGTCAGGCTCCTTCAGTTTTTGGTTCCTGTGGCAATCTTGGGGTCAGCTGTTGCCGTCAGAATCTACACAAAAGCAGCTTAAAATGTTTGCTCGAGCAAAACAAGTTATGATAAGTTAGCAGTTTTTGCGATCTCCTGCCTTCTTACACATTCAGACACTAAGTTTGGTTCTCAACCGCTTGCTTGTATCTTATGGTACGAAGAAGTCATTTGGTGTTGTATTGCAGTACCTATTAAATCTGTGCTTACTATCACAGAGCAACTATGGTATGAAGTCATGTAGTCCATTGCCCACTACATGAACATATCTCTTCAAGAGAATTATAATATTGTTGTGTAACTATAGGCACAAATAATGATGAAAAATTAACGTTCCATCAATTGACTTCGGCAGACTCATGCAAAGTCTTTGTCTATGAGTCAGTCCACTATATTATATGGTAAAGACCCCATCGAAGTTATAGGGATAGATTCAAAGACTTCAGCAAGCAATTATTTCAACCACTAATTGCTCGAAGAACAAAAACAAATATTTTTTATAATTTAAATTATACACAACATAATAACACTAATTATTAGGATGTCCTTAGAGATTGGATGTATAAATCGATGTGGATGACGCTGTCTCGTGTGGAAAACGCAAAAGTAATTGATGTCATGATAATGCCAGGATAGTGACATGGATAGCCATCAAAGTAACATTTTGTGCCCAAGGAAAAAGTATGAATCGACAACCAAAACCAAGCTTACACTAGAAATATAGCCACTATAATATCTCAAATGCCGATCGGATTAAAATCGAAACAAAATCGTAATTGAATCAAATCATTGTGATGATTCAAATCGAATCAGAATCAGACTTGAATGATCATACTAAATTATATATTTTATATTAAATCAAAATTTTATTTTATTTATAATAAATTTCAATTTCCAGATTGCACCAATGGATCACTTACTTGGAAGTGGGTGACATTTAGAACGAACTCATCTTCTGAAATTATTCTTGGAAAATAATAAGAAAAATGTTATGCTGTTTGAGTACGAGAAAAGAGGTCATGTCATAGTCTGTGGCCAAGCCAACGAAGTCGTTCAACTCTCATTTTCCATTAGGTAGGTTTGAAAAGTACAAAGAATTATTGGCGCATCAATCTTGAAACTTCATGGTTTTTGCTTATTAATTTTCGTTTTCACTCCAAACAAAATTAGGCATCTCATCGTCTAGAAATGTAAAAAAAAAAAGAAGATGAAGAAGAGTCATGTTTATGTGGAATTCTTGTTCTACAATAATTTAAAATATTCAAAAGCTAATCGGTCGACTATAACATTATTATTTATTAAAGATCAGATTAATCGGTCCACCAACCTTTTGAATTAAATTTGAAATGTTCTTCAAAAGAGAAGAAAAAGAAGAAGAAGAAAGAAGGAAAAAAACATACAATCAATCAAAATGGGAAGGCAACCTCTCAATTACTTGACATTTACATGAATTATTTGGTTTGAATCACCCAAAAGAAGAACACTTGAGTCATGCACATGGAGAGAACAAACATGGATTATTCATGGAAAATGAACATCACAGAGAAAATAATAAGACTTTTTTTTTTAATGCCTGTATTTTCTTTATTTTTAATTGACTGAAGACAAAAAGTTATTTTTAAAAATTATATTTTTAAGGAAAAAACAGAAATAAAAAAAGCATCTATTAGTTAAGATATAATAATTTATTGTAGAAGTAATAGACCAAAAAAATTATTACACCAAGTAAACCAACAAAGGACTCAAATGGCCTACCCATTCTTCTTCTTCTTTTTTCTGTAATTAAAATTAATTGGAAAATGAAATGATACATCAAAGAAATTTGCATGTTTTTTTGCAGGTCCACCCGAGTCTTTTCTTAGTGCAATTGGAATCATTCCAATGTACTCAGTCAACGACGTTATCATCTATGAATCCCATGGTTGCCTTGCCGGAGGGAATCTTCCTCTCCTCTTGTTATTAGCTGCAGTGAGAGTGAGAGAGAAAGAGAGAGAGAGAGAGAGAGAGAGAGAGAGAGAGAGAGAGAGAGA